AAAATAAAGTGTAGTATAAGGAAATGCCACACTCACCTGTGACATGGTTCTTCTCTGCTGTTCTGGGAAAGCAGACACCTGTGAAGGTAGACATCAGGGTGGGGGAGAGAGGATGTGAGAGGCCAGGCTTACCTGGTGGCCTCCCAAGCACCTGCCGGGACACCCCAGGCACACGTGCAAAGAGCCCCGAGGGAGCCCCATTATCAGAGCGAAATCCTCACCTTCGAAATGTGATGGGGACCTAATCTTGTGAGGCTTGAACTTGACTTTTTCTTTTTTTTCACTTATTGAATATGTATATCCGTGTCCCGGTAACCAACATGCAATTTACTACAAACCCCCCACACACACCCAGAAATGTAATTAACAGAAATTTATTCTCAAGAAACAATCATGAGTTTGGGCAAAGATTTAGTTGCCAAGAGATTTATTACAGTTTGGTAAAAACCTTAAAAAAACAGAAATAACTAAATATCCAACTTTAGAGGACTAGTTAAATAAATACACAACATCCAAAGGGAAAAAAATTGTGTAGTTAATAAAAGTAAAACCATAGGAAACTATCTGATAGCATATGGGAGAAAACTTATTTGCTGCAATACACAGACACACGCCCGCACGCTCACGCGATAACCTCTGAAATGACGTAAGACAAAATGCTTGTAGTAGTTAAAGCATTGGGGAGTAAGATACAATGCTTACAATGCTTTGGGGAGTAAGATAATGATCACGTTTAAATTTTCTTCTTGGCACTTAGATGAATTTCTGAGCTTTTCTATGACAAACAGATATTTCAGATATGATCATTTTTTAAAGTTATTTCAAAAATATTTATAGCCTACCAGTCTTCCAACCAAAAGCTTTTACCACCAGCCCTGCCCTTGGCATTGAGGAAATTCACAGGAAAATATAAAAATGGGTTCTTACAGGCAGAGGTCATTAAATGGAGGATAGCTGAGGCAACTGGAGGTTTATTAACATGGGGCTCTCCATTCTACCCCCGAAGCCTGCTAAGTTTTGTCCTCTCATGGCTGCAGTTTGTCAAACTTATTAAGAATCAGTCTGGCCAAACTGAGCTATCTCTGCCCAGGAAGTGGTCCTGGTCTGGCTCTGCCACTTACAAAAAATATGGGGCCAGATTTGAGGATTTTGGTGCCCTCCCCTCCTTTTTTCACTTCCCAGGAAGCAGGAGGGCTCCGAAACAAACGTGCTGCAGCCAGAAGCACCAGCCAGCCCCACGCCCATCCCTCCTGAGCAGACCCAAGGCTAACCTCAGGAGTGGTCCCTTCAGGACAGACAGGCCAGAGTCAGCAAGGTCACCCAGTTGGCCTTGGGCCCTGAGTTGGATCCAAGAATTCTGCAGAGACATTAAA